TCAGTCACTAACTTAGTACCTCGCTACTGTGCCAAACCTACTCGCTTCCCGTATGTAGCATCAGGCTTTGCCACAGTTTCCATGGTAGCATACTGTACGTGCGCGATTTCTCCAGACAAAAAGACTACATCATGCGATTCAAGCCCAGGAGCGGAGGCGGCGCCGGGTAATCTTCGATTACACAATTCTGCAGCTCTACATTTTTGCAAGGTTTGCGTCAACAATAAAAGATTCTTTCAAATTGAAATAATCCACACTCGCATATTCACGGGATTCTTGTATTCACACACGCACCCATCACAATGCATCACCAACATCTCTCTCCAGTCCTTACACCAAGAAGTCCACTACAATGACCACACCCCACACCCCTACAACCTCGTAGACAAAACGAGTTTCCTTTGGTGATTTCAGCAGTGTCTCGAAGACAAAGCGCCCGTGTATCCGAAACGAATCCTTCTCCTGCCAACAAGCAACTGAACGAGACCACGCGTCCATCAATTGAGTCGCGGAGGAAACCGAAAAACAAAAGGTTGCCGAAGCGGTAGGAGCTGTAACGAGAATGCTACGAAGCAGATTTGGGTGCCAAAATCTAAAGGAGCTTCGGCAAACCACCACCATCCTCAATGTACTCTACAAACCAGATTTTGTTGGCGTATTGTGCCGTCCCACGGGGGATGGTAAAACCCTTGCTATGTGTATGCGTGGTGTCAGTCTAATCATCACACCAAGCATTGTGTTGACCGCCTCTATGTTTCGATACTCACGGTAACAGAGGCGAAGGTAGGGACAAGTTCATGATTGGTTTGGGTATTGACGACGCAAATTTTGAAAGCTCGCATGCAAATGATGATCTGTGGACTTGGATTCAACAAATTCAAAGTAACTATTACATGTAAAGTACTGTAAAGAATAAAGAATTGCTTACTATAAAGTCAGACCTACAGTATAAGACTGCAGTGGTCTCGCCTTTTCTTTCCGAAACATTTGAATTTACGAACACTATAGTGTGCGTAGTAACCCGAAGAGAACTTCAATTTTTTCCAGGTTTGTTTTTTCCTTGTTCGACCTGGAACTCATCTTGATCATCATAACATTCTGCAAATTCACCAACCACGTCTACGATTGGGTTGTCGCTAGGGGGTGCCTTATCTTTGGTAAGCGGGTGATACATCCCGATTGTATCATCCGACAATAAGCCCTACGTTGTGATTTGCTGGTCCAAAATCAACTGAGGCATCCACCTGCAATTCACCTGCTTCTAGAATCAATTCGTCTGCTTCTTCATTTTATCCGCCGTCGACACCGGAAGTTTTCCGTTCCTTCTCAGCTTTTTGTTTGGCCTTTGCCGCCAGTCGAATCTTATTGTTAGCATGGCGCCACATTTCTTCATGAAGTCGTAGTACGGAGGTGTTTCGTTGCCATAAGCCTCGGAGGGTGAGACAACAACTGGTGTTGACATCGTTGTGTGATAATGGTTGGTTCGTATTGTATCCTACCAGTAGTTATGCAATAAAGCTTTTATTTTAGATGCGATCTCAAATCTGGCAAAAATGAAGAGCTGGTTCAGAGGATAGAGAGTGAGTGAGTCCAGTGCCCAAAACTGTGCTACTTGTATGATTGAAAAAAATTTCCAAGTGAACCTTAGCAAAATATAGCCTCGAAATGATAGTAGAATACCAAAAACAAGAAAGGTTGCTCTGGAAAA